AGCTACAGTCGAATCACCATGGACTGAGGGGAGCATTGACCTACGAACTGGGCTAAGTGATCTTTTATTCACATTACATGCTCTTTTCCCACAGCACCTTATAAGACCGAGGATGAACTCATGTACTCTCATGGAACAATATCTGGCTGCTTCAATATCTGGGTTGTGTCATTGATGCCTGAACTCCATTAACTAAACATTCTTGAGAATCTATTCCTTATTATATGTATATATTGTACTGATTACATGCATACATTTTCATGGCTGACTTGGGTGTCCCTGTTTCACCATTCTAACTGTCTAGCTTTGATGTTTGTGTGAGTAATAAGTGTTATCTGTGTTAACATAGCTGTGATAGTAGACTATCATAACCTGGGGGCTACCTTTTTATAGTAGTGGGTGTGTCCAGACAAGTGTGCCTAAGAATATTATATATTTTGTAGTGCCAAAACTTGAGTTGCCCTACTCCTGAAATAAGTTGAGCGTATATTGGCCACGGGGCTTCCCTTAGATCAATACGAGCCAACGACTCAACATAATTATTTCAGAGTGCTGTTGTTCTCAAGGAGAAATCCTTAAATCAGGCCACGCGACAGGAGCGATATGTGACAGTGACACATACTTAAAGGGGTGGTGCGTCTATTTATGTATAGGTATGTATATACAAGTGTGTCTTAATTTGATAAATCTGTTCATTGTGAAGAAACGTGACAAAGAAACAGATGCAAAAGTATTCTCCAAAACTGAAAATAAAGAGTACATTGTTAATGACAGTCGGATTATGAAGGTACTCCGGCCACATAAAAGATTATGTAGCTGTTTTGGAAGGAAACGTGGAGGAGAGAACATGTTTTTACGCAGATGTGAGCAGTTTCTAAGCCAGGCCGAAAAGGATGAGCAGCAGATGATATTGGTAACTAATTACAATAGAACTCACAGGAGGTGATGGCACTTGATGGAAGGCGGTGAAAAGACCAAGATGACGATAATAATTATGAGCAGAATAAGGGGATGATGCTAAATAATTTTATCGTAACGGAGAGTAAGAAAATGAAATGATGATGGTGATGATGACGATGATGATGATGATGTGGAAAAAGATGACTAGAAAGCGGATATGGCTATATAGAGTATGCAAGTTGAAAGTTGAGGGTTAAATTTCACGGACTGTGTCGTTCGGTTCTAGGTATAAGGTTGGTTTTCACAAAGATTTTTGGGATCGTCAATGTTGCTATGGGGTTCGCGATTATTGCAGCTCCCTTGGCTCTGCGTATAGACACCGATCAAGATGGGATAACAAGCCGACGCAATGAAATCTATCCTCGAGACTTTTACACTTGAAACATCGTGAAGGAACAATTACTGTGTTCTTCAGGCAAACATCTGATACATTTCCATTAATTACCTAGCCACTAGCACTCATTATTACCTCGCGTGATCCGAATAAATACAGTCACTCATTATCAACCTTCGTTATCTCATAACACATCCATTTGTATCAGCCCACGTTATCGTGTACTACATTCATTGTTATCAATTTTCGTAATCGCATAACTCATTGTTTGTTATTAACCTTTGTTGTCTGTTGAACCAATTCCCTAGGGGAATGCCCGACTCCTAAAAACATGGAAATGCCAGGATAGCAGGCAGAGAGAGAGAGAGAGAGAGAGAGAGAGAGAGAGAGAGAGAAAGAGAGATGAGAGAGAGATGTAAATATATATACATATATAATGTTTTTTAAGAAAAAAAACATTATCCACTGAACGGTATTTTGTGGCATTTATCAATCGGAAAGTTTCTAGGACAATTACTTAGGGTTGTTAAAGTACAGAGGACTATGCAGTTACATGAGTCATGGCACACTGTTTCCATTAAAACCACAAACCAGATAGTCTGGTGAGTTCAAAACGATTTGTCTCCAGGGAAAGACTTTTTTTGGTTTGTCTTCGAAAAAAAAATTTTCTTTACGTTGTAACAGTTGTGACAGAAAAGAAGCGACATTCCTCTGTCTGTCTGTCTGTCTGTCTGTCTGTCTGTCTGTCTGTCTGTCTGTCTGTCTGTCTGTCTGTCTGTCTGTCTGTCTGTCTGTCTGTCTGTCTGTCTGTCTGTCTGTCTGTCTGTCTGTCTGCCTGTCTGCCTGCCTGCCTGCCTGCCTGCCTGCCTGCCTGCCTGCCTGCCTGCCTGCCTGCCTGTCTGTCTGTCTGTCTGTCTGTCTGTCTGTCTGTCTGTCTGTCTGTCTGTCTGTCTGTCTGTCTGTCTGTCTGTCTGTCTGTCTGTCTGGTCCTTCTATCCGTTCATCTGTCTGTCGCATGCTTTCTCACACACACACACATACACACACACTCATACATATATATATTTGTGTGTGTGTGTGTTTATATATATATATATATATATATATATATATATATATATATATATATACATACATATACGAGAGCCTCCAAGGACATAACTTTCTTAATGTACACACGAAAAATATATATTTCTTGTAAGCTTGGGATGTTCTTTGATTAGGGTGCTATTATTTTTCACCACCACATTCCACACACTCTCACATTAATACAAACACACACACACACACACACACACACACACACACACACACACACACACACGTGCGAACAACAAGCTTTCGAATCAGGTCGATTTTAAAAAATCAGACGGATTTTCTCGGAACCAGGAACGCAGGTCAGCTGCCACATCCAGGACAGGAGCACAGTTGCTTCCCTTGAGATGTTCCTTGAGCTTTGGGTAACAAGACCAAGTCGCAACGTGCCACATCCAGGACAGGAGCACAGTTGTTTCCCTTGAGATGTTCCTTGAGCTTTGGGTAACAAGACCAAGTCGCAACCTGCCACATCCAGGACAGGAGCACAGTTGCTTCCCTTGAGATGTTCCTTGAGCTTTGGGTAACAAGACCAAGTCGCAACGTGCCACATCGGGACTTATGCAGGATGCGCCAAAATGTCATCATCATTGAGACGCTATAATGCTGTTGTTGATTGCCTACTCATGTGTGGGCGAGCATTGTCATTTTAAGAGCTGTGTGTTTGCCCGGGCATAATCCACGCAGAATTGTTAAACCACAGGAATACTCTCAACTCTGATCGCTTTGTGGAAATGTTGGAGGAACTACGAGAAGAATAAAATGACTAGTCATCCGCTTGTGGGATGCAATTTTTCGTTATTTTGAAGCGCCACCCTGGCTCTTGTCAGAGGCCGCAATATAGACCGGCCATAAATATGGTCTAATGGCTAAACGCGGTTTCCGGGACCTCTCCACGGGTGATCCTCATCCACATGGTGGCACTTTGCGTCATCGAGTGTTTATCGCTTGTGTGTTGTCCTAGTGGGGTAAAATGTACTACTACTACTAACTACGACCAAGACTGTTGACAGGTCGTCCTGGCAAACGCGCAGTTCTTCTGCAGTTTTTCTGCTGCTATCCTGGCCGTTTCACATGCTGTTGCTCACCGAGAAAAAGACCAGCGATAGGACAAATTGTCGTATACACAGACCTTCATATAACGGGATCAAAGCCAAAAGTCTTCAATATGATCTTCAGACTGTCCATGTCTTTTATCAGTCACAGGGGTGTTTTTCTTTATGTAATTCATTACATAAAATTATGTTATGGTCTAGAGAGAATGAGTGTCTGGCAAGCTGACTACACTCAGAGGAAAGGCAAGACGAACATATAACCAGATTGTAACCGGTAGTATTACCATAGGAACTCTGCGCTGGCTGCTGAAGATGAGGACGGAGCACGCATGGGAATGCCTGGACTGTTGTGATGTCAATTCTTGAGTCAACTTAACTCAACTCAATTTCATTACATTTGTATTCTGTATTATTATTATTATTATTATTATTATTATTATTATTATTATTATTATTATTATTATTATTATTATTATTATTATTAGTATTATTAATTCAATCAACCAAGACGGTCCTAGGTTTGAGACACGACTACGTTTACGTCTGTTTTACATACACATCGCCCTACTGCGAAAAATCCTGTGCAAGCATCACTCTCAATACGTTAGGCCCTACTTTCCATAAAAAGTACTCGATCATTAGGCAATTGCCATTTGTATGTATTTGTATTAACAGGGTGTCTAATTTCCAGTGTTATCGTCGTTGCCTCTTCTTTTCGGAACTCCTATTAGAGTTTTTGTTTAAAACGTATAAGCATTATCATCATCATCGTTATCATCATCATCATCATCATCATCATCATCCTCTTCTACCTTTTCTACAGCACCCTAGGCTTACAATTATTTCCTTCAGACCGTTCTATCCTGTGAGTATGGAGACACTGAGATGGCTGCTGCATCGGAAGACGGAACACGAATGGGTCGGACCGATGTGCTAGTTGTCGATACGGACAATAAGTAACACGTCATATCCTGCGATAACATGTCAATATCATGGATGGAATTCAGTCCGGCACCTTTAGCTTCTCGCATCAACGTCCATCTAGGGGCTTATGTTGTACATCCTCGATTCGTTGAGTCCATTTATTTTCCATTGCAGTGCCTGTCTGGCGATCCCCTGTCCGTTTCTCCTCGTGAAGTCCCAATATACCGGCATCTTCTTATATTATACATGTTGATACCAGCAATTTTTAAAAATTGATTGCACAATTATTGCCTGAAGCAAATAAGTTAATCCTTCTAACTGAAGCACACAATCAACTACAGTCACATCTGATTACCTGTTTTACCAGAACAAACGCAGACTAACGACTATATCTTTTTGTCTGCACAAATCAAGTTCACTCTGATCGGTTATTCTTCCGCAGGCAAGGAAGAAATGCTGGTGCCTCCATTAGAACCGTCAACGTAAACACTCTCCTCATTGTCTTAAACATACTGTAGAACAGCTTGCAACAGCATCATCTGAACCATGCCAGCCAACGCCAGAATCGATGACATAACTAACAACGCCACAAACATGACAGGCAATACACAGCAGGTGGTAATTCTAGACAGGACCTCTGAAGGTGTAGGAGCCGCTGGCATAGTACAAACTCCAGACACATCACATATTGGGCTGTACGACATAGATTATGATGATCCACTTTGGATGAAGACGCTCAACATCACTGGTGATGTATGGTATAATTACAGTTGTCAGAGCTTTGAGGTAATCTTAGCATTTGTGTCTTTACTGGTTACAAATGTCGCTTGGTTGTGAGAATATTATCTCCTTTCTTTCCTCTTGTCCGTTTCTACCTCTTTCCCTTTTATATTTTTCTTTCTCTGTCTCTCCCTTTTTTCCCATGCTCTTTCTGTACTTTCTTCTTCTACAGTTCATTTACTCCTATTCTTTCCTCCTCCTCCTCTCCTCTTCTTCTTCTTCTTCTTCTTCTTCTTCTTCTTCTTCTTCTTCTTCTTCTTCTTCTTCTTCTTCTTCTTCTTCTTCTTCTTCTTCTTCTTCTTTCTTCTTCTTATTTCTTCCGTCTTCCTATAAAATATAGTTTTAGCCCTATGTGCCCAATGCAAGTGAAGGAGAAAAAGGGTCCGTTTTTAGGTTATGTTATCACAATCAACGTCTCTGCGCACTAATCATCCCCATGCGTTAACAGTTCTCTAATACAGCAGCAACTCCAAGGTACCTCAACTAATTGTTCCTATAAGAAGTTGACTGTGTCCCCTGTCTTAGCTGTGAAGACGGCTTAGACATGCTTCCCCAAGCATTACTCACAGGTCGCGCAGTCGTGTTAGCGTGAGTAATTCAACATTGTCCTCCAGCGTAATCAGTACAGCGTTGACTGACTGGCTGACTTTCTACTCCACCAGGACATAACACAAGCGATAAACACCCGATGACGCAATGTGCCACCATGTTAGTGAGTATCACCGTGGAGAGGTCCCAGAAACCCCGTTCAGCCTTTAGGCCATATTTATTTTGCGGCCCCTGGCAAGAGCCAGAGTAGGGCTTCAAATAACGAAAAATTCCATCCTAAAAAGGAACGGGAAATAGACTATACAGCGTTGATCGTATCGGTTCTGTTCATGCTTCGTCCCATACGAGTGCTACATTACTTGCTAGCTGGTTGGCTCGTTCATTGTGTAATTATGTAAATGTGAGTCTACCATCAGCCGCCCAAAGCTCCAGTAATGCTTTACGCATACACCATTACTTTTGCACTAAAACTCATTAGCATCATCGTCCCATAAAGTTAGGTGTCGTTGGGCCACCAGTTGCAGTTGACTGATCAGCTTACTCCACCTTTGACCAGTCTAGTCCATCAAAAACTGTGTTCAGGTCTTTCTTGGTCTGCCTCTTCTCCTCTTCCCAACTAATGAGCGTTGTACTGTTTTTGAGAGCCCGTTGGAATTCACTAGATGTCCGTACTATTGCCTTTTTCGTCTTTTCATTGTAGTGAGGGAGGGCTGGAAAAGGGGAAAAAGGGGGGGGGGATGGATCATAGTTGCCAATGTGCTAGGCCATTATAACATTGATCTTCATATTATCACAGGTCCCTTCAGGCTTCATGAAGGACATAATAGAACCAACTATCTGCTGTATTGGAGTTGTCGGCATCGTCATCACTATGGTGGTGCTCACAAGAAAGTACATGAGTACGTCCTGCAACTGTTACCTGACCGCCCTAGCCGTTGGGGATCTGCTCTTTCTTCTCATGCTCTTCGCCAGGACTTTAGTGGACAAGCTTGCCGACTGCGTCTTTCACTTCAGTGATGCTTATTTAGTCTTCAATGTGTACACAAGTGAGTATAATAGTCCTGATTGAGACTGCAGAAATTAGTTATTTATTGAGAAGGCAGTCATGGGAGAAGATTTGTTACTTTGTTGAGAAGGCAGTCATGGGAGAAGATTTGTTACTTTGTTGAGAAGGCAGTCATGGGAGAAGATTTGTTACTTTGTTGAGAAGGCAGTCATGGGAGACGATTTGTTACTTTGTTGAGAAGGCAGTCATGGGAGAAGATTTGTTACTTTGTTGAGAAGGCAGTCATGGGAGAAGATTTGTTACTTTGTTGAGAAGGCAGTCATGGGAGAAGATTTGTTACTTTGTTGAGAAGGCAGTCATGGGAGAAGATTTGTTACTTTGTTGAGAAGGCAGTCATGGGAGAAGATTTGTTACTTTGTTGAGAAGGCAGTCATGGGAGAAGATTTGTTACTTTGTTGAGAAGGCAGTCATGGGAGAAGATTTGTTACTTTGTTGAGAAGGCAGTCATGGGAGAAGATTTGTTACTTTGTTGAGAAAGCAGTCATGGGAGAAGATTTGTTACTTTGTTGAGAAGGCAGTCATGGGAGAAGATTTGTTACTTTGTTGAGAAGGCAGTCATGGGAGAAGATTTGTTACTTTGTTGAGAAGGCAGTCATGGGAGAAGATTTGTTACTTTGTTGAGGAGGCAGTCATGGGAGAAGATTTGTTACTTTGTTGAGAAGGCAGTCATGGGAGAAGATTTGTTACTTTGTTGAGAAGGCAGTCATGGGAGAAGATTTGTTACTTTGTTGAGAAGGCAGTCATGGGAGAAGATTTGTTACTTTGTTGAGAAGGCAGTCATGGGAGAAGATTTGTTACTTTGTTGAAAAGGCAGTCATGGGAGAAGATTTTTTACTTTGTTGAGAAGGCAGTCATGGGAGAAGATTTGTTACTTTGTTGAGAAGGCAGTCATGGGAGAAGATTTGTTACTTTGTTGAGAAGGCAGTCATGGGAGAAGATTTGTTACTTTGTTGAGAAGGCAGTCATGGGAGAAGATTTGTTACTTTGTTGAGAAGGCAGTCATGGGAGAAGATTTGTTACTTTGTTGAGAAGGCAGTCATGGGAGAAGATTTGTTACTTTGTTGAGAAGGCAGTCATGGGAGAAGATTTGTTACTTTGTTGAGAAGGCAGTCATGGGAGAAGATTTGTTACTTTGTTGAGAAGGCAGTCATGGGAGAAGATTTGTTACTTTGTTGAGAAGGCAGTCATGGGAGAAGATTTGTTACTTTGTTGAGAAGGCAGTCATGGGAGAAGATTTGTTACTTTGTTGAGAAGGCAGTCATGGGAGAAGATTTGTTACTTTGTTGAGAAGGCAGTCATGGGAGAAGATTTGTTACTTTGTTGAGAAGGCAGTCATGGGAGAAGATTTGTTAATTTGTTGAGAAGGCAGTCATGGGAGAAGATTTGTTACTTTGTTGAGAAGGCAGTCATGGGAGAAGATTTGTTACTTTGTTGAGAAGGCAGTCATGGGAGACGATTTGTTACTTTGTTGAGAAGGCAGTCATGGGAGAAGATTTGTTACTTTGTTGAGAAGGCAGTCATGGGAGAAGATTTGTTACTTTGTTGAGAAGGCAGTCATGGGAGAAGATTTGTTACTTTGTTGAGAAGGCAAGAAAGAGACAGAATAAATAACCGTTGAATAGATCAGAAAGATAAAAACAGATATGTAACTTTCTTAAGAAGGTAAGAAAAAAACGGAAATGTGCAACCCTGTTGAGGACCCAAGAAAGAGAGGTAATGAGTAACTCTGCTGAGAGGAAAAGAAAGGCGGAAAATGTGTAACTATGTTGAAAAGGAAAGTAAGCGAAGAAAATGTGTAACTGTTAAAAATAAAAAAAAAAGCAGAACATGTGTAACTCTGTTAAGAAGACGCGTAACTCTGTGTAACATTGTTAAGACGGCAAGAAATGAAGAACATGTGTAATATTCTTAAGTAAGCTAAACATTCAGAAAATGTTTAACTATGTTAAAAGGCAAGAAATGCAGAAATAGTGTAACTGTGTTAAGCTATGAAAAGCGAGAAAGTAAAAATATGTGTAACACTGTTGAGAAGGCACGAAAAAGAGGTAAGGAGTAACTTTATTGAGAAGGCAAGATATGCAGAAAATATGTAACAATGTTGAGAAGGCAAGAAAGGTAGAAAATATGTAATACTGTTGAGAAGGCAAGAAACGGGAGAAAATATCTAATACTTTAGAGAAGGCAAGAAATGGAACAAATATCTAACACTGTAGAGAAGGCAAGAAAGGTACAGAAGTTAGTAGATAAGAACGAAAAAGTTTACTTTCTCTGTAGTAGACAAGAAAGAGGAGACTGGCAGAGTGATTAGTGCACAGGTATATTTTAAAGGAGATAAAGCGAAGGGATAACGCGGAATGCAGTAAACACACCTTAAACACATCTAAATGCACGTGCCAGTGCTTTTAATCGTATGTAAATGGGTCAGTTGAATTTACATAGAGCTAATGTATATTGCCCTTTGGCCTCGAGACAAGAGGTCACAGAAATCTGTAAGGAAAGTCCAAAAACAGGTTTGTACTTCCATAGCATCCAAAGACGGGCGTAGCAGCGTACGGGAAAACGGGAAAAGGCGTCCATAGCAGCGAAAGGGTTAATAACAGATACATATTTTGTTGTTGCTGTTGGGGCAAAATAAAAAAATCTAAGGTTGCACAGTGTGTGGCGATTGCACTATCTTTCAGTTTTGAAACTATTTTCGCATGGTCTGCGTCGCACTACAACAGTTAAATACAGGCAGTATAACAGTTCAGAAAAACAAAGTATGTGCATAAACAAAGTCATTGCCGCCACCTCCACTACACACACAAAATATATTGCCTAAAACAGAGTCATCATTCCTTCCTCCACCGCTCAACATATTACACTTGGCCAGTTACCGGTGCCCCAATGATAACTTTCTTGGAGATTGAACAGGGTATCAGGGATTTGCTCTGCTCACTTGCCATCCAGATTAAGCTTCAGGCAGCAGACCGAAGAAAAGGCGAGGTAGGGAAGGAGAGGGACGAGAGGAGGGTCGAGCCAAATAACGACCTTTATCTATCAGATGTGAGACGGACAAAATATTTGTAACATGGTTGAGAAGGCAAGAACGTGAGGACAGACGAGCCAAATAACTACTTTTATCTATCAGATGATAGATAGACAAAATATGTGTAACACAGTGGAGAAGACAAGAACGGGAGGAGGGACGAGCCAAATAACTACCTTTATCTATCAGATGTGAGATGGACAGAATATGTGTACCACTGTTGAGAAGGCAAGACCGGGAGGAGGGACGAGCCAAATAACTACCTTTATCTATCAGATGCGAGATGGACAAAATATGTGTAACACGGTTGAGAAGGCAAGAACTGGAGGAGGGACGAGCCAAATAACCACCTTTATCTATCAGAATGAGATGGACAAAATATGCACAATCCTTCTGGTAATTAAAAAATGAAAATTAGGTCCACCATATTATTATATATTAGAGAAGACATGAAAAGATGTTAATACCTTTACATATGATGATGATGGTAATGATGGCGGTGGCAAAGGCGGTGGCGGAGGCTGTGGCTGAGGCGATGGCGGCGGCGGGGGCAGTGGTGGTGGCGGTTGCTATGCCGGCGGATGTGGCTATGGCGGTGGCGGAGGTTGCGGGGACGGAGGTGGCGGTGGCAGTTGCGAATGATGGTGATGATGATGATGTTGATGATGACGATGACGATGATGATGATGATGGTGATAATGAGGATTGATAAAGAAAACATGGACTGGCTGCAATATAGAGACGAAGAACTATTATTAAACCAAATTCTTATGAGCTCATAAAATCATAACATTACATTTCTCTTCTTCTTCTTCTTCTTGACTTCCTCTTTTACCGCTGTGGGTGTCGAGGGAGATATAAGGTTCTGTTTCTAGCTCTTCTGGCCGCCTCGACCATAGGCACATCGTGCTGTTGTAGAGTTTCTTTAATGTTATCCTTCCATCTTGTTCTTGGTCTACCTCGTGCTCTACGTCCTTCTTCTCTTTCCATGTATGCTTAGTATGGTATGGTGTCACAAGGCATTCTCTCTAAGTGGGCAAACCATTTCACTTGCTGTCTTCGTATGTAATCCAGAATTGGTTCTGTGCCGACTTTTTCTCTTATGATCTCATTCCTGATCTTATCTCTTATGGTCACTCCTACAGCCCTTCTCAAACATCTCATTTCCGTGATTACTAATTTTCTTTTATGGTTTGTTGTAAGTGACCATGTCTGGCGCTGGTAGCCCAGAGTTGGAATAAATATGTTTTGAATAAGATGTCTCTTTGTGCTGATTGGGATTGTCTTATGCTGTAAGAGGGGTGCTAGCTGTCCCAATACTTGGTTTGCTTTACTGCATCTAATGGTAATTTCTTTATCCAATTTTCCATCTTCGGTAAATGTAGTTCCCAGATATTTAAACTCAGATGCCTGTTTAATGTCTTTGCACTCGATTGCTATGTTTAGATCTGTCTTCTTTTTTTTTTTCCTATTGACATTACTTCTGTCTTTTCAGTGTTGATGTACATTTCTCTATTTCAGTAATTCTGCAAGACATTTGCCTCTACCTAACCATAGGTGTCACCGTCATGTTAGCAGTGGAGAGGTACATAGCTGTCTGCCACCCGATGCGCACGATTGGACTGTGTACTATTACCCGGGCTAGAACCATCATTGTGGCGTTGTTTGTGGTTTCATTTATCCTGAGATCACCCAAGTTTCTGGACATCGAGGTCCAATACAGGAAAACTGAGTCAACGGGTAGGGTCCTGACAATCAGCTGGGCATTTCCTTATGATGAGAAGCTTTATACCTATATTGTAACAGGTATGTCTCGTTTTGTAATGTTTCCTTCTTCTTCCTTCTTCTTTTTCTTCTTCGTTTTTTGCCTTCTTCTTCATTCTTCATCCTTCTGTTTTTGTCTTCTTCCTTCTTCTTCCTTCTTTTTTCCTTCTACTTCCTTCTTCTTTCTTCTGTTTCCTTCTTCTTCCTTCTTCTTCCTTCTTTTTCTTCCCTTTTCCTCCTTTTTCCTCCTTCTTCCTCCTTCTTCCTTCTAAAATGTTGTTCCTTTTGATATGAGTTTTGTATTGCTTTGTTTATTCTTGATGTTACATCCTTTTCAGATCCCCTATCTGGAGTAACTTTCACTCCGAGCGTATACTAGAACTGCTTCTATAGTTTCATTAGGATAACTCGATATTATGTTTTCTGATTGCTTCTCATACTTTAGTTTTACTGTTATTTATCTTGTCCTATCTCAAAAGCCACTGTCGAAAGTCTTTCAAACTTTTCCTGTGAATCCACACTGCGGCTAGATATAAGACCAATGTGCACGGCGTAGACCAGATCCTATAAATGCTAGATAATTGACCAGCTGGCACTGCCGTTGCTACTTCTTGTAACTTCATTCATCAACCAAATCCTTGATATCTTTATATCTATATTAATAAAAATGTTACTTTTCCGTGGTCGTTATGTATAGACTAGGAAACTACTTAACCGATTGCTTTCAAATTTTCACACAACATTGCCTTTGACTCAATGCGTGATTTTTTGTCAGAAAATCACACAAACCACGAACAGTGTAGCTCCAGCAACGATCAAATTGGATTTGTTTTTAGTTGAGTGGCAATTTCTGACTGCTGAGTAGGGCTGCCAATAAGTGCCTTTTCCCCCATGATCCAGATATTTATATGACGCCTTGGGTTCACATTTTGCAGCGTTGTTTACTTTGTTGTTTTAATGTATCCCTTTTTTTTTTTTTGTCCTACAATATATAGTTACATACCAGTGAGTAAATTGTTCCTGTCGTTACTAAAATTTGTATACTATTTATCATTCTTGTTTGTTTTTTTTTGTTGTTTTTTTTTTTTTTTGTTACCTATGTTTTGCATGGGTTTTTTGGTCCCCTTAGCTTAGGTTTTCAAACAAATAACATTGGCAGCCCCGAGTTTACTTTGTTCCTCCCCCCTCCCCCGCCCCACCCCCATTGTTTTGTGTTTCGTTTTTTTTTTTTTTTAATATTCTATTGTGCATTGCAAATGGCGGCGGAGTTGAACTGTCTTGATCGATCTACGTTCATTATGCACAGACTAGTTACTGACTGAGTATTTGGACATGTAAAGACCTGAAGCTAAGACATTATTTTCTACTGAACTTCGAATTAATATATAATTTCATTTTTTCTGAGTCTTTGGTAGCGTAGTTTTAAGTATTTCGCCTGTCCCGCGGGTAAACGCTTTCGATTACCCGCTAGGTGATATAATTTTTTCCCGCTTATCTGGGCGGCTGGCGCGTTGTGTTGTGGTTTATGGCTAGGCTACGATATCTACGCCTTTCCCCCCCCCCCTCGGTTTTGGGGTTTACACCTAGCCTGCGATAGCGGCAACATGATGCTCAATGGTCATGTCACGGGTAATCTTGGTTCGCCCTTGAGAATACCGTTGGCACGTTGTGTTGTAGTTTACAGCTAGGCTGCGATATCTAAACCAAACTCTTCAGTCTTCGGTAGTGTAGTTGTAGGTATTCCACCCTTCACGCGGGTGACCGGTGTTCGATACTCCACTGAATGATATGTTTTCTTTTTCCCTTAAAAGGGCGGTTGGCACGTTGTGTTGTGATTTACAGCTAGGCTGCGATATCTGCGCCTTTCGCCCAAAGACATCCGATTTCAGTAAAGTCCCAACTAGCCTTCCCGCGACGCTTCACTCGATCAAAAACTATTCGGCGATGACAGAAACTGTTAACTAAGACGGTTTACCATCCAGTTTAGTTAGGGTGGACAAGGATGCCAAGGTCAGTTAAAAATCGTCCCTTCGGAGAGGGAGAGATGACGTGTGCGGGGTATTTTTCTCCGCTATTTGTTAGTATAGTGTACTTTTTTTTCCATCACGGAGTATTACTGTGGGTGAATAATAACTGGTTAGGTGATGGAGTTTAAAAAAAAAATTTTATTCTATATCAGGGGCAAAATTAAACTAAACAGTCTGTGGCGACAGCACGCGGCGATAACTCTTCTGGCTACACCAACCTACACAGACATTAGTGACAGTTTGTTGTTGTTGTTGTTGTGAAGGTGGTGGTGGTAGTGGTAGCAATAGTACTGGTACTTGACTGGTGATGTAGTAGCTGTTACACTAACAACGTTTACTTCTCAGTACATAATAATGCAACCCATTTTAATCTAGGTGGACACGGATGCCAAGCTCAATTTATTTACAATATTTCGTCAGATGATGACTTTCCCATCCTTCGGAGAGGATGATATGATTAGGGGAGGGGGTGGGGGTGATAGAGTTTGATGTCAGACACTGTTTACTGAGAGAGCTTAGAACATATTTTAAAGTTCTCATTTCTCAACTATTTCTATTTAAATAATTTCAGAGAGGGAGAAATGACTGGGCGAGGGGAGAGGAGGGGGGGGGGGTTATGACAGACACTGTTAGCTGAGAGCTATAATTTTTTTTCCAGCTCACCATTCTGGGCCACAGCAACGCGTGGCCGGGTACGGCTAGTAACTTTATTTAATTGTTTATTTCATGTCTTGTCCAATTCCCATTCGAAGGAAATGTCCCAGAATAAAACCAGCGAATGACGAAATGCAGCAGGCCTATGCTCCCCGGGGGAAATGATGCATCTCTTGCTAATACAACTGATAAATGAACCTGAATACTAAGCAGTTGTATTATGCAAAGTGCGCTCGGCGTTAAACCTGCCTAATACGATAGCAGTGTTTTATACACAGAGCGTGGCCTAGATGATTTAGCCCAATTTTCCCTGATGGTTATTTTGAATTCTATAGGAAAAATTTTAACTATTAGCACTCCAAACTATACTCTTTGAAATAACAAAACAAAAAAAAATTATTCCATGGCGCATTTTTTTTTAGCTGATGGAAAAACCCGCCAGCCTAAAAACTATCGATGACGCAGATGCAAAAACACTGACATTTATTTGGTTTAAACCCTACGTTATTCTTGTGTGCAGTTTTAGCGATCTTACTCATTAAATTACACAGATGTTGAATTATATTTTTTTCAGTAGCTATCTGTTAATTTGTACTATTATTTCAACTGTTCACTCCTGTTGCGTCGGCTCTGTGGCTAAGTCGATGCGAATGCTTCGTAATGCCGGGATGCCGGGTTCGATCCCATCTGCGGGCCATGCGCCTTGCGTTGGTTTCGACAGTGGTATCAAGAACGCCGACCGTCCAGGAGGCAATGGCAAACTACTGGAAGTAAATTTTCCTTATAAAAACCACACAACATCCCAGGGCTGTTGGGGTTGATTCTGCAACGTCCTGTAAATATACGCAACTATCCTTAACTTTTGCTGCTGGGTATCGCAGCAGCAAAAGGCAATATGTAGATGTTAGCCAGTCAGCCTAAATCTCCTAAATTTTTATTAGCACCTGACAATTTTTTTAACTAGTACCAATTAACTTCCTGGGAGGTAAAGGCGGCCTTTGGTATGTTGATCATACAGTCCACAGAGTGCCAATTAATTTTAAAAAAAACATAAATGTTTCATGAAATGTTCCACATTCACTGCAGTTAAATAAAAAGGTCATTATTTATGTTTTACATGATGCTAACATAACTATCACACTAAAACTCTTTTTTATTTATTTTCAATAGCTGGCTTATTAACTTGCATGCTAAAACTTGTAGTAATATTTTTTCAACGGTTGGGTTGGTAGCATAAGTATCTTACTACACCCTTGTTTTTTTTTTTTTTTAATATCTCGTCAACAGTTGGCTTGTTAACATAACTATCTTACTACACCCTATCGCGTCAACAGTTGGCTTGTTAACATAAGTATCTTACTACACCATATCTCGTCAACGGTTGGCTTGTTGACATAACTATCTTACTACACCATATCTCGTCAACAGTTGGCTTGTTAACATAACTATCTTACTACACCATATCTCGTCAACAGTTGGCTTGTTAACATAACTATCTTACTACACCGTATCTCGTCAACAGTTGGCTTGTTAACAGTCCTACCGCTGCTGGCTCTTCTCATTCTCAACATAAGGATCATCCAGGAGCTGCGGCGGTCAGCACAGTACCTACAGTGCTACCTGGGAGCCGACATGCGAGTGCGCTCTGTTGTCACCAGCGAGGAAGCCAAGATCACCCTCATGCTGGTCGGTGTTGTGCTGGCCTTCTTTGTGTGCCACGTGCCGTACATGGTATACAGGTACATACTGATCGTGCTTGGTTGTGTGGGAAAGATGTGGGTAAGAGGTCTGTTAGTTGAGGATGTAGTAGGCCATATGTACACACTGATCGTGCTGGGTTGTGTGGGTAAGATGTGGGTAAGAGGTCTGTTAGTTAAGGATGTAGTAGGCCACAAGTAAAAATTTAAAAAAAAAGTGTGGCCTCTGTCGCTTAAGCACTGCGAACGCCAACTCGTAATTCAGGGGTGCCAGGTTCGACACTCGCTTCTAGCAATAAGACAGCAGACCGCCTTGCTCTGGTTTTGACAGTGGTCTCGAGAGTCGACCGCTCAGGACAATGACAAACTACTCAATATAAAACTGGCTAGTGAAATCACAAACAGCTTTAAAAAAAAAAATTGCTCGGGTTGGTTCTGCAACGTGCTGCAAATTATAAGCAGAAAGTTTTAAAAAAAAAAAACACTTTGTTGGCAACAAAAAGCAGCTAAAAGAATTGACAACCAAGGGGAATTTTTCAAAACAGTCAACTAGGTGTTACTTAAGAATGTGTACCATCACCCAGTTATTCAGTTTTGTATAGCGGAATATGGCCAAAGTAACTATCAACAATTGCTTGAAAGAAGGTAATAAAAGTAGATCTTTTTTATATACAACAATAAGAAGGAGACAAAATCTGTTCTTTGGCCACATAATGAGAAGACAAACATTTGAGAACATCGTGACAACTGGAAAGATTAGTGTGAAAAGGGGTAGAGGCAATGGCTGCATGCATACACTTCAGTCACCTCCAAGAGGAGACTGCCCCACAACAAGGTGAATATAAGATGGGGGGGGGGGGGGGGGGAACGTGTATATGTAAGGTGAGCTAGATTGTGGGTGTGTGTGTGGGTGAGTATGTGTTTGTGGAGTGTGATATTTCAAGAAGTTCATGAAAGAAGGGGACAGAAATTAGAGTACGTATGCAGAGAGAGAGAGAGAGAGACAGAGAGATATATATATATATAGAGAGAGAGAGAGACCGTGGGATTATTCGAGAAAGGAGAAGATGTTAGGTAATGAGTAAAGTGCGAGGTAGTGAAAATCAGCTGGGTAAAAAACAAAGACACGAAGGATGTAGAGAAAGGGAGAATCAGTGCGGAAAACAAGGATCTAGTTATATAGGATCTGGAAAAGGGAATACTCAAGCAAAGAAAATTATATGAGAAAATTAAGTCAATTTCGTTGAGAGGTCACGTGTCTCAGAGAGTGACTCCGTGCGGCCGCATTCGTAAATGTAATCGAAGATAAGCAGTAATGGATTTGACTAAGATAACAGGTTTTGCTGATTTAGGAAAACGGATGTTCGACCCCTAGATACAGATTTTTTTTAACTCGAATTGACAATTAGTATTTTTTTTTCCACTACTTCCCCTTCTTCTCCTTATCCTTTGTTTCCCTGTTTTGTGCTTCTTCCACATCTTCTCATCCTTCTTCCTTCCTCGTCTTTCTTTCCCTCTCCGCATTGGTCGTGGCTTCCAGTTTGACCCAGCCTAAAACGCAAAGCACGCAACGTCCTGGGAAGCAGAAGCGACAGGACCCCTCATCAGCCAGCGACTTCCCATTTGTCTACAAAAAATATACGTCTAGCGTCATGTGTCTGATGAGCCACTACCGTGAGAAAGGTCTTTCTTTTTTTCATGTGAGAAGTCTTTTTTTTTTTTTTTTTCTAATGAGAAAGGTCTGTTTTACCGTGAGAAATGTCTTTTTTTTTTCCGTGAGAAAAGTTTTTCTTTACCTGTGAGAAAAGTCTTGTCCCCCTCTTTCTTGCAATAAGCTAGTTGGGTGGTTAAAGCTAAGTGTCTCAATTACTAATTACATTTGAGATCGCTAAATGAGGCACGCTGTGGCTTATTTTTAAAAAAAAACGGTAAGTAGAAGGGATTCAAAGATGTGCGCGTATTTATGTGCCATACATGTAAGCATAGTCGACCACAGTTGAATACCTCACTAGGTTACTAGGACAACACTTCAAAACACATGGGGAAGCCATCAAGTGATTTATCTCGCTGTCTTCCCTTTACTGTTTTCAAATCAAGTTTGCCAGTTATCGCAATCATATGTCCTAAAAAATGTATAAAGTTTCAAAAGCAACATTTAAAACATTATATTTTCAAAGTAATCCACTCTATGAAAGAAACAGCACATACTTAGAAAATGTAATTTTAAGACAAGCCGTTCTACGAGGAGTGGTCAGTCATCATGTATAAGCGTTAGCAGGTGACGATTACACCGAAGAGGGCATCGCAAAATATTTTTTTATTTGTCGCTTAGCTGTCGAGAAAAAGCGTGCGCAGCTATTATTGTAGTACTAGTAACTGGTAGCTTCCACACGTTACAGTTTCTAAATGAGTGGTGTTAGCAGGCACTAGCGTTCTTTTCAGCTATGTTCGAGACTTAGTGGCGTATCTGTAATAAATAGTTTACAAAAATTTGTAACATAATTTTTCTACGGCAGTGGAAAGTATAAGTGGCGATTTCAGCCGTTTCATAGACGCTTCACCACTGCCCGTTGTACAAAAACTAACATAACTAAGGAATTTATCAGCAAACTGCGACTAGAAACAAAACACAGAACAAAATATAAGATCACTCGGGAATTATACGTTCTTACGTTCTTCTTCTTCTCCTCGAGCTCATCCTCCTCCTCCTCCTCCTCCTCCTCCTCCCCCTTCTTCTTCTTCTTCTTTCTTGTTCTTCTTCTTCTTCTTCTTTTCTTCTTCTTCTTCTTCTTCTTCTTCTTCTTTTCTTTCTTGTTCTTCTTTCTTGTTTTTCTACTTCTTCTTCTTCTTCTTTATTTTCTTCTTCTTCAATAGCCTTTCGAGCCCTTGAGATTCATTGCTGGAGATATCACACGCCTCGACTCATCTCTCTGGTTGGTCTTCTCTATCCAGTTGGTAACATCAAGTGTTTGCAGGTCTGTCTGGATATTACCTCTCCATTGTCCTCTTAGTCTACGACCATTCATCTCCCTTGTGTGTGTGCAGTTCTAACCTCTCTGTCATCTGACATTCTCTCAATATGCCCCAGCCGTTTCAACCTATTAGCTCTCATGATGCCAGTAATCAATGGTGGTTTAAAACTGATTTTTACATTACGGTATCGAATATGTAAACAGAATAATAACAAATAAGAACAAAACAAAAAAAAAAACTGATAAGAATGTTGATTTTATTGTTCCCTCACAACTCAACCTGGCTTCCTGGTCGACCCAACCTACACTGTGCAGATGTACTATCGTGGGAAGTAATGAATAGCATTACTCTTTGAGAACATATTCGTCTATACGATGATTAGGTAAAGGGCTGTGTGCCAAATGCTACATTGGCGTAAAAAAGCGTTTCGCAATTTGGGGGGGGGGGGGGGGGAGGAATACACACACACACACAAACCCACCTATTTGGTTATATACGAAACAAAAATACACTTTAACAGCATCACCATAATCAAGTTCCTTGGGCGATCATGCCTGTGCTATAGTCTGAGATCTTCAGCAGCATGCAACAGTTCGTGTGCTGACACGCTCTGGGAGAAGACTGTCCAGAGCCTTATCGCCTTGGCTTTATCTGTTTCTTTTTCCCACAGATATTTCCAGTGGTCACAAAATGTTCCAATTCCCTATTTCATTACATGACAAAAATATGACAGACTTACTCTTCTGGTCTCTATGATAAGCTGTCTTTGAGCCCTCGCCTCTTTATAAACATCTGGGCTGCTCTTGTTGGTTGTCTAATAAATTATAAGGATTCTTCTGTAAAACTACATCTCCGAGGCCTCACCAAATTGTTCGACTTGTTTACTAATTCCCTAGGCTTTACGGTTGTATGTTAATACTGGTTCTATATATCATGCGAGAATTCTTTTGCTAACCTTCAATGACATGGATTTTTTGCGTTAAGTATTCTTCTTTTATAAAATGCAGTTTTGGCCTTTCCTATTCTATTCTTTACTTCTTTGATACATCTTCCGTCAGATGTTATCCATGTGCCTAAGTGTTTATTTTTTTTTTCTTCTAGGCAAATTTCACGTTCAGTAATTTGCCACTGCCTTCTCGTAGGTCAGCTCTCGGCACGACTGTCGAAACCAACGCAAGACATTCTGCTGCCAAATCACCTGCAGCTGGGTTCAAACCCAGAATTATGGCATTACGAAGCGCGTTCGCAATGCTTAAGTCAAAGACGCCAACTCCATGTGCCCAGATCCTTAAATTTCTGTACGTGTCCTAAAATAACACCTTTGACTCGTAATATACGTTTACACAATATTCGTTTCTTTGATATCTCCATTCTGATATAATCGAAACAAATAGACTTTAACATACTGTTGTTTATTCCCTAGCATAATCGTTGCCTTCAGAAACTACGACACACACAGCTATGACGTCTTTACGAAATCACATGAGATGAAGAACTTTCAGCACGTGTGCCACAGCTTCCTGGCCCTCCGATCATCCTGTAATTTTGTCCTCTACTGCTGGTTCTCGGAGAAGTTTTGGGTCACGTTCAAACGCATCTTTTGGATGCCGATCTGCAGGACCAAGCAGCTGTCATTGCGGCCCACACGTTACAACTACAACAGCCAGCACAGTAGGGTCAGCAGCCACACATACTTGCACAGGTCATCGTTCATTAACACCAGAGACACCACGTGTTAGAAGCCTCTAAGTTTACGGCTTAACAATCCTCGGACAGCTAAAGGAAGTACTCCAGATGTGTTGAAAGAGGCTAAAGCCCGAAAGAAGCGAGGGCTTGAAGATAGCCTATCACAATCACTAGCAAGAGGCAGTCGTCATTCATTGGTCATTTCTTTAGAGGAAGAAAACTGGAACATGTTGTGACCGCTGGAAAGATCTGTAGGGAAAGAGAGAAAAGACGATCACGCGAGATGATTCATGACAACCTTTTGTCATTACATGGAGGGTTTGAAGTAAGTTGCTTATCCTTTACAGAACGTTGCAGAACCAACCAAAGCATTTTTTGGCTGTTGTTGTTTTTCTAAGAGTAGTTTGTCATTGCTCTCTGGACAGTCGGCTTCTCGATACCACTGCTGAAACCAACGCAAGGCACAAGGCCAGCAGCTGGGATAGAAGCCGGTACCGTTGCATTACGAATCGCATTCGCAAATCCTACGCCACAGACGCCGTAACAATACATTAATTGACACGTGCAGTTAAAGACAGCAGTTGTGGAGAGGCATGATCGCACATGCCAGTTGGCAAAGAACTTCATAATGAAGTTGATTAAGATGATGGCCTCAGGACGATTTATAACAAACAACATACACTACTTCGCTCATGTTACTCCCTTTGTGTGCTCTGGCTCCCATTAGGGATGGGAGGGAAGAATTAAATTTACCCACCTTCCTATACAAGCATGTCGCAGAGAAGCGACCAATAGGGGGTGTTTCCTTTTAAGTCTGACCGTATCTGCCTGAGAGGAAGGCAACCAACAGTCTGCATACAAAACGGTCAGATCTGTGAAAACTATGTGCATGCAATTCAAGTTCTTGAATAAGACGAATGCCCAGATGTGGACGAACAACCAGAACATTCCGCCCGAGTTTACAATCAGTGGGGGGAGGGCAAGTTATGATAAGAAAGAAACTGGAAAATCCTGAGGCAACTGGGTATATTTCTAGAAGAAGAGACAATGGAAGACAAATGGGAGATATGTATGTACAAAACAAGCATACTTATTATTGCCTACTATGTCACTATGAGGTCTAAATACACAAACACTTACTTGTATGCCCTCCTTCGCCTACATTCACTATTTTGTCCTCACTACAAATGCATTCCCCAATCTTATTTTTATTTTATATATTTAAACAACTATTTTTTAATTGACTTCAGCTCCCAGGTCGACCCAGGCTAAAATGAATACCAGATAAAGTCCTGGGTAGTAAAGGCGGTCGGCGTGTTGTTAACCACATCACCCTCGGGTGCTCATTGGTCTATAAAATATAAATCTAGTCATGTGTGCCCAACACTCCTAAAGGTGTGCAACAAAGTACTTTACTTCGTTTACAAAAACATTCGATTTTGGTCTTAACTATACCGGCTTCTGTAGCTTAGAGGTGTGTAGTTTGAGAATTCTATATACGGGTTTTCGATATCAGTTGTCTACGATCTTGGCAACAGAGCGCTTTGCGTTCATTCCGAGTGTCGTATTAGCTTCCAACCGTTAGGTAAGGCAGTGACATAATATTAAACGTTACTCAACATACGAGGGCGAAGTTAATAGGTAAGTCAAAATGGTTATGGGATGGCAGGAAAATTTAGTTGGTGGTTTCTAAAGGTGTCAGGTTAGGTGGCGCTAGGTGCTGCATGCGCATTCGCAACACAGAAACAAAATGGCGACTGTACTTACGGAGTGTACCCTTAACAAAGAACGTGCTCTTGTGCGGATTTTTTTTAATGTTGGGGAGAGAGACAGAGAGAGAGAGAGAGAGAGAGAGGAGAGAGAGAGAGAGAGAGTAAAAAGGCTCTCTGTAAAGGACATTCATAAGGAAGTGCTTGCTATTTATGAAGATAAATGTTTATCCCAATAGCTGGTTTGAAAAAAAAAATTGTCCCAAGGATGCTTTAAAATTGTTGATGAAGTCCGATCCGGTCGCCCTGGTTGAGATTGCAACAGAAGCTACGGCTCGGTTAACTCATCGAAAAATTAACCATGTAGGGTGCGAACTTCTGAAGCACCCATCATACAGCCCCGACTTAGCCTTGGCGATTTCCACCTTTTCAGTCCATCGAACCATCGAAAACCCGCCTTGGTGGGGGGCATTTTGCAAATGACGCAGGAGTTGAATGTCAAGTGAAAATATGATTTAGAAAACAGAGCACGTAATTCTATGTAGCAGGTTGAGAAGGACTGACAAAACGATGGGACAAATCCATCAATGTTGATGGAAATTAAGTTAAAAAATAAAGGAACAATTTACGTGTAAAAATAAATATTTTCAAATTGTTACCGTCTTTTGTATTTTTTTTTAATTTACCAACTGTGACTTACATATTGACTTCCTCTCGTAGAAAAACTACAATAGCAAACAAATTATAGGATCGGTTCTCCACTTTCCAGTGTATCAAGGCGACTTATCCCTTAGTCGCGAATCAAAGCCGACGGATATGAACAATGAAATGTATGAATATGTTGTACTAATAATGTGATATTGTTTACGTTGTTAACATGCTATGTTAAACTGAATATATAAAAAAAAATATCATTAAGATTTTGTTTTGAAAAAAAAAAGCATATTTATCTTCTATTTTATTCATCACCAAACCCCCCCCCCCTCCCCCTCCCCCTCCCCCTCCACCCTTCTATCCACATTTTCCCCCCATTTGTCCATTATCATGTCAATAAAATATTGGTCACTCAAGTTATGAATTTTTATTTTTTTTATTTTTCTCTCTTATATAATAGAACTGCACACACTCCTAAGAATAAGCTCACCTTAGAATAAGCTCACCTTAGAATAAGCTCACCTTAGAATAAGCTCACCTTAGAATAAGCTCACCTTAGAATAAGCTCACCTTAGAATAAGCTTACCTTGGAATAAGTCACGTATTGTGACTATATCGGAAGCAGAAACTGCGTTCAACCTTCACTGAAGACGCCGTCTTAATACAAAGGCGCAAACACAAAGACTGCGTCAATAATTAAAAACTGAACTGTTACATGTACTTCCGGCAATGGTGTGTGGAAGCAGGGAACTGACGAAGCAGACAATAAGCTGTAATTACAGGGCAAACAATGGCGTGCATGTTTATCTCTCCATCTTGCTTATCTCTCCATCTTGTTTATTTCTGCATTCTGTTTATTTCTCTTTCCTGTTTATTTCTCTATCCTGTTTATCTCTCCATCCTTTTTATCTCTCCATCTGTTTATTTCTCCATCCTGTTTATCTCTCAATCTGTTTATTTCTCCATTCCTGTTTATCTCTCCATTGTATTTTTCTCTCCATCCAGTTTAACTCTCCATCCTGTTTATTTCACTATCCTGTTTATTGTTGATCTCTTTATTGTATTTTTTTTTTTAAAATGCATCCAGTTTATTTTTTCTAGATCTAGTTACAGAACTTGACGGACTCGACATGCCTTGGGTGGTGGAAGCAGCTGGTCAGAGAGTCACCAGCAACTGGTTGTATATCTTTACGCAGGCTTTCCATAACGATGATAATGGTGATGATGTTTTGCTGAATAGCAATTTATTGTATTTTTTTTTTTTTTTTATTAAACGAAAGTATAAACAAATAGTTAAAAAAAAAGAAAAGGTCAAGTTAAAACACATTGTAAATTGAACAAGAAATGATGGCTCAGACCGCTTAAAAAAATTTGTCGGGGGGGGGGGGGAGGGGGGGGGGCAGGGGGGGAGTTCAGCAGGTACCCCCCCCCCCCCCCCCCCCCACTAAAAAAATGGCGGGTAATGGTTTGAGCTTCCGGTGCCCAAGTTGCTTCAGGTAACACTAAGAACCCATTATTATAGACTACATTGAGAAACTGTGTGTACTTAAAGAACAATGTAAGTAATTACGTCAGGACTCATGCAACTTTTAGCTACTGAACACAAAGTTGACTTGGCAGACAATAAAATAGGGTTTTTTTTTTTTTTTTTAGGGAATTTTACTTCAGTAGTTTGCCATTGCATAATGAACGGTCGGCTCTCGGTAAAATTGTCGACAATAATGTTTGCCAATTCGCCCGCAGCTACGATCGAAGGCGGCACCTCGGCATTACGAAGCGCGTTCGCAACGCCCAAGCCACAGACCAGGACATAAGAGCGTCTAGCTTACTTCAAGGCATAGGCGCCAAAACCCCGGGAGCTCAGACATCTTGACAAACGTTTTAGCAGACGCAGGTTCACTTACGAAAAATCCGTCCTGCCTACAGGCAAGAAAACATAATCTGGGCCGTGCTTCGGCAGCACAAATTACAATTAAAAGTTACAATATTTGTTGTCAGTTGTCTGTGCTCGATAATCAACAATCTGCTACAGAAAATGTCTCTAATAATTTCTAATAAGACGATGAAGATAAAGTAGAAAAATATGATAATGGTGATTTTGATGATGAGGATGTGATGACGATGAAGATGATAAAAAAGGAATCAGAAGCAAAGGAAGAAGAAGGAGGAGGAGGAGGAGGAGGAGGAGGAGGAGGAGGAGGAGGAGGAGGAGAAGAAGAAGAAGAAGAAGAAGAAGAAGAAGAAGAAGAAGAAGAAGAAGAAGAAGAAGAAGAAGAAGAAGAAGAAGAAGAAGAAGAAGAAGAAGAAGAAGAAGAAGAAGAAGAAGAAGAAGAAGAAGAAGAAGAAGAAGAAGAAGAAGAAGAAGAAGAAGAAGAAGAAGAAAACTAGAAATAATGATGATGGTTGTGGTAATAATGATAAAATAATCTGAGGAATACAATTTAAATTTTCATCACACAACATTGAAAGTTTCATATGAAACTATTCTTAATGAAGGAAGTATAAAACAAGAATGCATGCCGTTCATGTACTTACTTTCATTACAATGAGGTCCGAACACATCCTTCTGTCGACATCGATCACAGGCATCGCCCATGTAATCGTCGTTACAGTAACAAACGCCTATCCCCGTAATTCCTTGTGAACACTGGTAGATCAGACAAGTTACTGTTTGAGTGCAAGTTACCAGC